GGGCTGGCCCACCGGCCTGCCTTGCAGGGGGGCTGCAGCAGGGACGCCCCTGCAAGCCGCCGGGTCACCACCTCTGCTTCAAGGTTTCCCTTCCCGCAAAGTGAGTGGGGAAAAAAGGAAGCGCTTGAAGGCCTTGGACTGCAAAATGGAACTTACCCCTCTCGAGGCAGTCTAGCTGTGAAGCTGGGAGAAGCCCTGGAAGGGCGAGGGACAGGCTTCCTGCCCCGCCTAGGGATGCAGCAAAACCACCTTAGGCAGGGAGTGGTAACCCAAGTTTGCATGGCCTACTTATCTAGGGTTCATTGAACCCTGGTTTACTTAATTGGGCCTCAGCAGATTGCAGCTCTTGGCTGACCTTGCCTGGCTCCAAGGCAGGGCCAGGCTGGATTAGGGCTTGGAGGGGAGACCACAAGGAATCTCAGGTCTGTAGGCTGGATTGGGGAATCAAGGAAATGGCCCAGAAGACATCAGGGTCAGCCCGTTTCCACACTGCTGCAAGACGGCCACGTGCGCAGTCCGGTGAAATCACCAGGAGCTGAGCTTCTCTTTACAGTATAGACTGTACTTAGCCATCCCAAAGTTGATGGTTTTCGGAAGACGCTGAATCATCAACTGAACACGCCAGCTGGATGTAGTAGGCCAGATGCTGGACCAGAACCCGGGAGACCGTGAGCAGGCTGAGCCCATCACACTTCTTCAGCCTAGCCCACCTCACAGGATGGTTGTTGCGGGAAAAAGAGGAGGGAGCATTATGCACGCTGCCCTGAGTTGTACAAATAAAGGCAGGATAGATAGAAATCTAATAAATAAATAAATAGTCATTGGGATTACACATTATGCCAGGTGAAAATTATGGTGGACTAGTTAGCGGCTGAGTGTGCCAGGCCACCCAGCCGTGTGAAACCCGAATGCCCGATTAATGAAAACAGGTCACCATCTAATCCTGGCACATCTTTAATCAAACCTTTATCCAAATCCAGAGTAGCACCATCTGGATTTATAGAAACGGGAATGTGAAACCACATTTCAAATTCAATTAGCGTAACATTACTAACCACAGTGGCTGTGTTCATGTAAGAAGCTAGCTGGAACCAAGCAATTCACCCTGCCTGGTTTTTACCATATGTGATTGATTATGTGCCATCAAGCTGGTGTTGACTCCTAGCGACCACATAGATAGATCTTCTCCATGATGATCTGTCAGACTGGTCCTTCAGGTCCTCCAGTGGTGCCCCCATCACCACTGTAACTGAGCATCCACCTTGGTGCTGGTGGTCCTCTTCTGCTTTTTCCTTCCTCCTTTCCCAGCATTAGAGCCTTCTCCAGAGAGCTGGGTCTTCACATCATGA